TTATAAAATAAAAGAAGAATTTTATTACTTAAGGTTCTTACTAATTTATTTGATTTGTTTCTTATTTGTTTTTTTTTTGTCCAATGCTAACTTTCTCTATAGGTTTACCTAAATGCGAAAGGATGATATATAATATGAACAAATAAAATAAATTGTAATTAGTAAATTGGACTACTAATTTTTGTTTTGAACATGATTACCTTTGCATGGAATAAGGAATAAGATTAGACTTTCAATTTTTTTGGTCATATTTGCAAATTGAAATATTTGCTTTAATGTGGAGAATTATATTGGATTTAGTTCGTATGTTGTTTTGAAAGTTTGGTAACAATTTCGATTTAATTTGATTAATTAAATTCTTAAAAAAACAAAAGGTTGGATATTGAGAATTTCAAGGGATTTGGCTAGTCGAGAGGTTTTCAATGATAAAGAATATCTCCAAACAAGTTTGTTTTGGGAAAAAATTTGGTAAAACGGTTTCGATTTTTCTAGTATAATGGTCTTATTTTTGAGCTTGCTTATGATTATGTTGTATTATCGCATAGTGGTATAACTTGGCATTGTAAAGATATTAACTCTTATTCATTCTATTTATTTTTTATTGTGTCAATTGTGAGTTCTTTCATGTCTTGATGTGAATCAAGGACATTACTCCAAAAATGTTTTTATATTCATGAAATGATAAGTGAAAGTTTAACTTTATTGTTATATATATTTGCTTATAGTTGCATGGTTGGAATGCCAATATTATGACCATAATATTCCTATATGTATAATTGATTTATAACCATGCAACTCATGACATTCTTGTAATTGTAATGTATCTATAGCTGTTTGAATTACACATTGCGAGTTGTAACTAAAATTACTTGTGCAATATTCACTTTATTGGTTCATTAACTTGTCTTGTATCTAAGTGTATATATAAACAGTGAGCATTGCGATTTAGCGGCAATGAGGATAAAGTTTCGTAATGTATTTTATATGAAGATAAGCATTTCAAGTGGAGAAGCATGTTCTTGGCTAAACAAACGATTCCGGATGCAACCATGAATTCTGTTTTTGTAGATTTATACAATTTGTAATTGTAATAGTTGCATTTCCATTTGTAGTGGTTTAATTTCTAATTTGTAATAGTTTCACCACAGTGAAAGGAAATGAGGAAGATAAGAAATTACAAACCTTTGGGTTTAGAGAAAATGTTTGGGATTAATTTTATTATTCCCAATGTGTTTTGGTTTTCTGTAATAGAAACCAAAGTTTAGGCTTGGCTAAAGAGTTTTTGATATGTGTTTAAAAATGGAAACTAAGACGGATTTGGTTTCAAACCTTTGGAGTTTGATGAAGTCTTTAAGTTTAATTTATTTATTCCCAGAGTGGTAGAAAACCAAGTTTAGAAAAAGTGTTTGGTTACAATCTGATTATTTCCAGAGTGCTTTGGTTTTAGAAGAAAAAAACCATATTTTAGCATTAGCTAAAATATTTTCTAATTTTATTCAAAAATAGTGGGCTCGGTTCCTGGAGTACCGGTTAACTTTTACAAGTGGTGTAATTTTGGTAGCAATTTTTATTTGCTTAGGAATTGGTTTTTTAACTTGGTTTATTCCCTGGAAACTTGATTCTGAATTTGTTTCTCATTGACAATGAGTCAACAAGCTCTTAAAAGTTTTGTTTAAGGTTAATTAAGTTTTAAGTGAAACCATTGTGACCCTTCCAGTTTCTAGGAAACTTTCATGACCTTGTTCGATTTTGAAGTTAGTGGTGAAATAAGTTTTGAATTAAATTTCAGTCTTTGGGATTTCCTAGTGCTAATTTATTTCCTGAAGAAACAAAATAGTTGAAATTATGTTGTAGTTTTCAGAAATGGTTTCAAAGGTGACAATAGGAAATGTTGTTCCACTTGATGATTCAGAGGTGATAATAGGAAATGTTGTTCCACTTGACGACCTTAAGCCTTGCAAGTTTCTTATAGGAAGATCAAGAGAAATCAAGCGTGATTAGAAGAAATCATATAATTGCATGATAATATCTCTGAATTAATCAGAGGCATTTAGTATGTTATCCTTGTGTCGATTATAACACATGCGATTGCTATGTGACTTTGCTTAAAAGTAAAGATGAGACAACTTGTTAGGATGAGTAGATATATTTTTTGAATTTTTATAATTCCAAATATATTCTTAAATTGGTGGCTTCTAATGAGTATAAGATCACTGATCATAGAGATAGAAAACTGGTGATTCGTAGGAAGTGTTAGACTACTGGGTACACATATATGAGATTGTGATTCCTAGTTGTAAACAGATTACTGATTATATGTTAAGACATGATGGTTCCTAGTTATGGAGAGGCTACTGATCATATATCAAGACAAGATGATTTCTATTAATGAAAGAGTCTACTGATCCTATGCTAGGACGTTGTGATTCTTAGTAGTGAAGTGACTACTGATCACAGGTTAAAATATTGTGATTCCTAGTAGTAGAAAGTTTACTGACCACATGCTGAAAAATTAGTGATTCCTAGTGATAAGGCTACTGACCATGTTATGAAGTTCCGAATAGTAGACTACTGAACACTAGATTTGTGTTTCCTAATAGTAAGGCTATTGGCTTTAGAGTGATAGGTTGGACCAAATATGTTTTGGTGCCTTGAATTCGGAAAAGACCTAATTCGGTCGATGACGGTCTGGGAATGTGTTTTCTGTGATATGATTTTGAGATTCTCATAATCATTGTGACGTTAGGTATTGTATAAAAATCCTGTATGAAATTTTGGAAAGGCCAAAAGCCTTTGTATAAATTCTACAAATGTGGGGGTGCCATGCAAAATGTGGCAATACCTAAACCCAAGATGGTTAGGATAGGCCTAAAGATCTATTGGGTTTGTGTTCAACGGTTATGCACAGTATAGTAGTGTATATCGGTTTCCTTGTGGACAAATCTAATATTCAGATTTACATAAGAATTCCATCATGGAATTGATGAAGCAGTTTTTCATGAGAAAAGAGATGAGCCTAGAAGATGTTAACATGCTAGGACTTTAAAGTTCTTCTGTCTAATTTTCTTAAACCTATATGGTAGCTAGTGAGTTCTCTAGAAAGACGTTATTAAATTAACTTGATCTTGCATAGGTAGTAAACCTTGGGATGCAAGTGAATGAAAGCCGATGAGACAGACTTGTTATCAAAGGATACTAGTGAAAAAAAGGCTAGATTACTTTGATATGTGATCAATAGTTATAGTAAGTGTGATCGCAATTGTGCGAGGTCTAGAGATACATCAAGATGGATGTTCCGATAACTTTCATATATGAAAATTTAGTTGAATAAATCTTTAATAATCAATAGGTATTGACAAATGTGTTTATGTCAAAGACACTGACGATGATATATGTTATTTTGTGTTTGTATGTAGATGACATGCTCATTGTTGGTAGTTATGAGAAGACATTCAATACTACCAAGAAGTTGTTAAACTTTAAGTTTGACATAAAAGATATGGGCCTTGTAGATGTGATTCTGGGTATATATTAAGATTACCAGAACATCTGGTGGTTTTATATTTTCTCAGTCTCATTACGTTGATAAGATACTTGAGAAATTTAATAAATCAGATACGAGTGTATCGAAGACACCAGTAGACTTGAGTCTACATTTAGCCGAGAATAATGGTGAAAGTGTATTTCAGCTAGAATATTCTCGGGTCATTGGAAGTGTAAAGTATCTGATGAGTTGTATAAGGCTGGGTATAACCTATTCAGTTAGCAAGCTAAATAAATACACGAGTAATCCTAATGCCTATCTTTAGATACTAAAGTACTTATGATGAAGCTTGGATTATGGGTTGCATAACACTTAAAATCTAGTTGTACTAGAAAAGTACAAAGGCACTTACTGGGTATCTGACATAAAGACTACAGATCCATTAGTGGATATGTTTTCTTTAATTGGAGCTGTAACTGTCACTACTAGAAAAGAGGGCTTTAGACATGGAACTTTTTGCGACGGTCTAAAAAATGTCGCAAAAAAAACCTTTTGTGACGGTAAAAAAAATTTGTTGCCAAAGTTTTATTTTTTGAGATGGATAACCCGAAATCGTCACAAAAAGAATATTATATGTGATGGTACGTTATCCCGTCCAAAAAAAACTTTTCGTCTTGCATTTTTTTTTTGTGACATTCTTTATTAATCTGTTGCAAAAAAATTTATTTGCGTATTTTTTCTCATTTGCGATGGTCATTCAAACTGTCACAAAAACTCAATCCCCTAGTTTTAATTAGAATGCACAACCCTTGTGAGAACCTGAATATAAAATAAAAATAATAATATGTAAATAATAATAATTTTACAAGTTTCAAATATTTTGGTGATAAATATTAAAGTGCAAATTAAATATTGTTAGAAGGTAATTTAATTAATCTTAAACTTTAAATAAATTTATTATGTAATAATAATAATAACAATAACAATAATCATCATAAAAACAAGGAGAGTGATTATTTTAGGGTTAATAATATAAATACATAAATAAATAAAAATGTAAGTTCTTATTAACACAGCAGCCCCAATCGTGAGAATGAGGGAGAATGAGAAGAATAGTCGCAGTCCAAGTCTTGGACTTAGGTTTCGTAGCTGTCGCTCCAGGCCACCATCATCACTGGTAAGAAAACTTTCATTTCTCTCTCTATTTTTCTGAAATCTGGTTCTTTATTTTTTTGATCTGATGAGTGAAATAGTTTTGAATTCAGTTATGAAATGGTTTGATTTTTAAATTTCTTATATGATTGAAATGGGTTTCTGAAATGATCTTTATTTTCTGAAAGGGGTTTTGGAATGGTTTCTATCATTGCACCGTTGCAAAAATGGTTTGTCATAATTTGACTTCTTGTTATGAATTGGCTGCTTTATTTTAAAGGCAGTCTCTCTTTTTTCCTCTCGATCTCATGAAAAATCTCCTAGATTTCCTACAAAACATAAGTTCTTATTAACACAGCAGCCCCAACCGTGAGAATGAGGGAGAATGAGAAGAATAGCCGCAGTCCAAGTCTTGGACTTAGGTTTCGTAGCTGTCGCTCCAGGCCACCATCATCACTGGTAAGAAAACTTCCATTTCTCTCTCTATTTTTCTGAAATCTGGTTCTTTATTTTTTTGATCTAATGAGTGAAATAGTTTTGAATTCAGTTATGAAATGGTTTGATTTTTAAATTTCTTATATGATTGAAATGGGTTTCTGAAATGATCTTTATTTTCTGAAAGGGGTTTTGGAATGGTTTCTATCATTGCACCGTTGCAAAAATGGTTTGTCATAATTTGACTTCTTGTTATGAATTGGCTGCTTTATTTTAAAGGCAGTCTCTCTTTTTTCCTCTCAATCTCATGAAAAATCTCTTAGATTTCCTACTGTAGATTTTCTTCGGCGACATCAAATGGCCACTTCTTTGTAAGTTTTTGACTATTCTTATATTTGGGACTGTGTAAAGTTTGGGCTTTTTAATTTTTAGTTTTTTTTGGTATGTGTGGATGCTTTGCTGCTTTAGGGCTCTCTTCAATTGATGTGATTTTTAGTTGATTGTGTGTCCATGTATCGATGAAAAATGGAACCCTTATCTAGCCTATTCTTAGTAGTAAAGTCTTGCATCATGTTGCATGAGACATCCAACCGCATAGAGAAATTACAACCATGGAGGCATTCTATTAGCCACTTAAATTTAGGACTAGTGATAGCCTCGATTTGTGTTGGGCCAAAATTGAGATCCAACTTGAAGACTGAATTGCTAACCAAATTTTAAACTAATGCCAAATGATTGATACGAATATATTATACAGAAAGATTAAAAATTGATAAATGTGAGAATGAATCGCAGTCGGGTTGTGATGCATATGCCCTGATAAAGCTTTCACAATTTTTTTCATAAATCCAAAATTAAACACAGCCTAACTTAGTGTAAATAAGTATTTATTTATAGACAAAGTGAGTACAAATCTAGGCAAAGTGATTATTTATTATTATTATTATTATGAAAGTGGAATACAATTGCTATCTTTTGTTCTCTCTCTCTCTCTCTCTCTCTTTTATTTTATTTTTAATTTCATTTCCCTTTTGCTGATTTTGGATTGTTTTTTCTCTCATCTATATAGTTTCTCTATGTATGGCAAAAAGAAGATGAATCATGCTATATACTTTTTGTGTCTACAAGGTTCTCGACAAAATGTTGCAATGGCATTGCAAAGATGAGATTTGTCATCTTAGTTCTGTTATTTCTTGTGTTCATTTTATGTGGAGGTAAAAACACCTTGGTACTTTTTCAAAAGCTTCAGCTTTGATTTTTATATATGTTTTTGCTTGATTCTGTTTTTCTTGTTTTCAAAAATTGTAGTTGCGTATGATCCATTAGCTTTAGTTATGGCTGTACATGTTGTTAAGAGACATTTTGTTATTTTTATTACTATATGGTTTATTGGAGTGGAATTTTAAGTGGTTTTCATTCATCAAAATTTTAATGAACAACAGAGAGTCTTAGTAATTAATTTCTACTGATAAAGATTTTGTATAACATAAATTTCTGCTGAACAATGCATGTGGTATTAGAGAATTTGTTTCTTTTATATACCTTTCTTCTTCTCATTTTGATGCATTTGTTTTTCTTTTTATCTTCTGACGTCTTTTTAACTGATATTAATGATATTAAATCTGCTTATCTTCTTTTTAGTTGGTGTCAAATCTTTCTTTGCCAAAGCAGTTGGCATTTGACCAAGAGATTCAAAAGTGTCACATCAAGTTCTTGCTTACATATTTTGCTATATTTGATGTTATTCTTAGGATTTTATACTGATAAAATAAAGTGAGTCTCTATGCTTGGCTTCTCAAAGGTCACTTCAACAACATTTAAACTATCAAAACTTGCTTCAGATTTATATGAATCTAGCAAGGACACAAGAGCCTTTATAACATCAAATCAAACTGCAATAGCAGGAAGCTCTAGTGAATATAAATCTTTTTAATTTCTAGAGGCATTTCACGTGGTGGAAGTTAATAGTCCTAGTTTTCATGGTATCTGTCACAGTTTAAGGATGTGATACAAAGTGCTGGTCTATTTTTTGTCTTTTCTTTTTTCTTTTTCCCTTTAAAATTCAATAAAGTATATGGTTGTTGAAGTTGGGGAGAGTTTTAATTTTGTTGCTTATTTTATATGGAAGAAATCAATTATCATAGAGGCCTTTCTGGTTATATTTTTCTTCTATTCTCAATTGTGTATAAATTTTCTACAAAGTAAAATGAATATTCTGATAGACATTTTGAACTTTATTATCTTCTAGCATTAGTAGGAGCATTCAGAATTTGTGATCATGGTTCTTGAAGTACACAATTATCCATGTTATCTTTTTGCCTTTCCTAACTTAGGAACTGTTTGGTTTTGTCTTTTTTAATTACTTTTTGTCTATTTAAGCAAAAAAAATTAGATCATTTTGTTTGTTTGCAGTTCCTTTTGTACTCTATTCAACCAGACAGGTTTTATTAATTGCTCTTGCACAAATTAAGAGGTACTTCTATATTCTTCTAATTGCATGAACATGAACCAATTGATTTGATTTTATAGCGTTCTTGGTTTAGACCTGACTCGTTGATATTTTGAATCCGAGTTTCATTTATCTTATTTAGATATTCATACTGTGTTTCTCCTTATTTCTCATTGAATTTGGGTATTGAAGTGTCTTGGTTGTGTTTGGAACAGGTTGGTTGCTAGTTGGTTCAAGCTATTATTGTCCAGAATTTGGCCTCTTCACTTGAGCGAAGCTTCTTGCACTTGAGCGAACTTTGTGAGCTCCCAATACTTTTGCAGACCTGCAGAGATACTGGGGAGGTAGTGTTCTTCGCTCAAGCGAGACTTCTGAGCTCTAGAGACGGTCTTTTGTCTGTAAAACTTCTAGGAGATTGTATTCTACGCTCGAGTGAAGATTCTTGCGCTCGAGCAAAACAACTTATTTTGTCTAGTCGCTTGAGCGACAAGTCTTGCGCTCGAGCGTACTGTGCGTATATCAATTCATAAACAGGTCATTTTACATCACTTTTTCACCTCTCTCTCTCTAAAACTCATTTTTTCTCTACAAATACACCTAGCTTTAGGGATTTCTTCACCCTACTCCCTTTGTTAAAAAGATAAAGCTCACTTAGAGCTTTGTTTTGATTCGAACATAGTTGGGTTCCGGCATTGTTGAAGTTTCCTCACTCTCTCAATCATCTTCTAGTTTTGAGGTAGAGATTCTCCATACTCTTTCATGATTTTTAACTCAGCTATTTGTTTTTATAAAATAATATTGTGATTTTGGAGGATTTTGAACAAATCTAGGGTTTCGGTTTAAAATCAAAATAGGAGTTTTCCAATGGATGTATTGAAAATGGTTGTGGGGTTGGAAATGAGGTTGAGTTATGATCAAACTATTGATTTTGATACTTGGAATGAATTTTGGAAGAAAAATGAGTTTTACCCGAAATGGCTCAAATATTTATTTTGTATAAATAAATGAAATTGATGTTGAAAATGTGAAATTAGATGGATATTGATATAAATGGTGGAGTTTGATATGTATTATCACTCACCTTGAAATTTGGAAAGTTTGTATGCATTGGAGATTTTACATCTGTTTAGAAATATATGTTTTGGGCTATCGGTGGAGGATAGCAATGATTGTTGTAGAAATTGCATGAGGACTAGGTGAATTGGAACTAATTTCTCATCCATGTGCATTGAACATTGTTGCTCATTTAATACGTTGCAAATGTATATGAATTTGAGAAAAATTGGTGAATTTTGGAAAGAAGTGTGTATTACCAAATTAAGTTGGCATGTGTGTCCAAGGTGAAAGTTTCAAAAAACGCGCGTATACATGGGGGTGCCGATTTCTGCGGATAAAATATTCATAAAATGGCAATAGTAGCGCTTATATAGACTACGTTTACATGGGTGCCGTTTGACAGTTTCCTACAAACAAAATATCCGTGAAAGGTTGTATCGGTTTGAGAATTTTCCCTTGTTTTTGTTGTAAAGGACATAATTTGATAATTGAGATATAAACTGAGCATGGCATGATTTTTGAGAAAGAAATGTAAAACGATGTGGTCATAAGGATTGCATATGCATTTCATCTTTATATCTTTGTCAAGATTCATATATTGTGTTGGATTATTTCTACTGGCTTTGGCTTACCCTATATGGGAAAACCATTTTCAAGTGTTGGTAAGATGCCACTGCCACAGAAGTAGCTTGGGAGGATTGGGGCAAGAGCTTCATTTTGTTTACTCGTTGGTAATATTTTGTACAAGCCTAGGGCTTTATCTATATTGGATTAAATCCATTTTAATGTAACCAAGTATAGTTTTGGAAAGTTGTAGAAATCAATTTAACTTCTATTTCACATAGTTGTTGTTGTCGTTGACATATGCTATAGATTCAAGGTTAGGGCTTATGAATGTATATTCGCATGTGTCACCCTTTTGTACAATTGAGTCTTATGTAATGGAAAAATATTATTGTCACACCCTAAACCCGCCCCTAAGAATTAAGGTCATAACCGGCCAGTAATCATGACATTACCTATGGCCTCAAACCTAATTAAGCATATTACAACAGAATTAAGGGGCCAAAACGGAGGCAGACTTAAAAATTTTGTCCAATGAGTTGTGCTTATATGGCATAGTAAAATTATCCAAAACATTGCATAATAACTCACACAAATAAGTAGAATAATCATCTTGTACATCCAAGAACTTTTAGACATATAGTCAGCTAAACAAAAAGCTTATATACACGGGTGACCCAACGTATTCACCAGGATAATAAAAGATAAACAATAGAAACAAAACAAAGTCTCGTGCGTGAGACGTTCGGGCTGACTCCTCAAAAACTTGACTTCCTCTCATAAACTTCACCGTGGCTGGGTTTGGACATCTCTTTGCTCACCTATACACATATGAATGAGAATGAGCAAAGGCCCAGTGAATAATATCAAACAAGGAAAATACATTAACGAAATTCAAAATACATATATCGGACGGCCTTGGGCCCAATTCATGTTTCTATTTAGTGTATCAAACAACTACAAATTATTCATATTTATGTGCATTTTATACTTGAGCTTGTAAGCATGTCGTAATTATAATCATATTCCAATTGCTTTATTCAATCATTAGAATAGCGAATATTCGATTTGAATTAACAAATCCGTAGAATTCATACAGAAGTAAGCATTTGGAAAGTAACATACTTCAACACATTCTTACTAAGATATTACTCACAGTGTTTTGCAGGTGGATTTGTCCTTGTGCTTGGCCTTACACAATTTACAACATATCGGGTTACAAGCAATTCAATTCGTTCTCAAATTGTTTATTTCTTTTAGGCCTCTTTCTCATCCCTTTAACTCATTTACAATGTTTAATGCATGCCTAAGAGTGCTTAGAAGTGAAAGAGAACGGAAAACAAAACATAGAGCAACTTTTCAAATTTTCTGAAATAAGGCTCTCCGTTCGAGCATAGCTTTAGTCGCTCACAAAAGTTCTGGTTGCTTGCAATTTACGCTCAAGCGAGACTATTGACGCTTGAGCGAGGAGTCATGCAAAGTAGGGTACACTGGAGTGTAGATTTGGCCGCTCGAGCCACCGTGCAATCTCTGCAAAACTTCTGCGAGCTACATATTCACGCTCGAGTGAGGCTTCCCTCGCTCGAGCAGACAAGTCGAATTCTGGGTTTTTCAGAACTCTGTTTGAAGCTCAAACTTAACCCCAAAGGCTCCAAAACTTGCAATTTGATACCAAAGCATGGGAAAACATTGCCTAGCATGAAAACATGGGTAATTCGAATTCAACTGACCAAAAATCATGGTTCATCTCCCAAATTTCCAAAACCATTTCAAAATCTTCAAAGCTCATGAAATCAAGTTACATATCTTCATGGATTATGCATGCATGTAACTTATTGACTCAAATTCCATTTCAAATGGTATAAATGATGTTCATACTCATGGAGCTTAACAAAACCATGCTTGCATGTATGACCTAGCACTCAATTTCTCATATTTAACTTCTTGCATGCTTGATTATGCAATTTCATGGTAATACTCTACATGTATGGTCATATTGACTTCAAATTCATCATAATCAATTCAATTCTTGTAATTCATTTCATATCTTGCTTGAATTCACTCAATTATGAACTTAAATTCATGAAGTTGAGTTTAATTACTCAGCTAGAGGCTCCAATCCTCACAAATGTAGTTGAATCTTGTACCAATTCCCTTAGTCTTCCACTTTCTTAGCAAAGTCGTCAGTTTTGGCCTCTTTCTTTCTCTAAACCGTGCACTCTCTCTCTCGTTAGTGTATTCTCAGCCAAAATGAGTTCAAATGAAGGAACTTGAGTGTATATAAGCCTATTTATAGGGTTGCCTAACCCAATTGATTAAGGCTAAGCAATGGTGCTCTAATTCAATCATATTGAATCTAATTATTTTGATCCGAATCAATTTTTAATTAAATTTCACCGTATGTTTTAAAAATCATGCTAAACACAAAAATAAAGTCAATTTCACTTTATGATGCCTCTACGGCCTTCAATTTAAATTCTATAGTAGAAAATCAAATAGATTTTCTTAAACATATAGGAATTCAAGCACACACATAATCATATAAGTAGCACTCAAAATCATATTAACTACATTACCACAATCATAATTAAGATTAATTAACATAATACAGGACTGGGTTATCACAATTATACTCTAATTCGCATTGTTATTTACTTATCATAATGGATGATTTATCATATTTATTTTGGAGCGTTACAAATTTGGTGGGTCCATTTTGAATTTGAGCGTTGTTTATTTATTTGCGTTTTCCTATTTGATCCCATTTTCACTTATGAAATTCATCAACACTTCAAATTTGTGATTTGGTTGCCATTGCACCATTGTTTATACTGCTGCCATTGCCATTGAGATTCAATGTGATTTGGTTGCTATTGCACGCCTGTGCAATGAACAACAAAACTAACTCTCTCTCTCTCTCTCTCTCTCTCTATCTCTTATGTGTAATAGGCAAAATGTAGCGACCCTGATTTTTCGTAAGTCATCATTTATTTATTATTAGTTTATTTTATTTTTGGACTTCATTAATTGGGTTGTTACATGAGAATTTAATGTGATATTTAGTTAATTTAATG